TGCAAATACTGTGTTTCAGAGGGTTACCAAAAGTACAAGTTTTCCTTAGTGAGAAGTCTCTAAAATGAACCTCAGTGATGTATATGCAACTTCCATCACTAATCTTTCTTATTGCAACACAGTTTGCTGAATGCCAATTATGTATGTGCCAGGTATCTGGATAAATCTAAGTGAGACGGTGACTCCTATCAAGGAAGGCGTAGTCTAGTGCAGGAAGTAGACCCAAAAACAGATGAGAAAAGAGGGCCTGGTAAGTATGCAGCCCTGCCAGTTGTCAGCTTAGAAATGCCTTACTCCCAGGGCTGAAGAGGGAGCTTTACTGTCATCAGCTTCCCTGAAATTGATAAATTAGATGCAGACAGCTAGAGTCTAGAGCTGCCAAATACATCCTTAGGATTGAAATATAACCGTGCTCTACGCAGAACTGTAAGAACCTGCTGAATGAGCTGTATTATTTATCTGAAACCTGTTTAGAGGTGAGAGAAAATATGATGATGGGAATGATGGTAATAATTACTATAATGAGGCCTGTTCTCTGCTGCTCTGGAAGGAAGCAGCGTGCAGTAGATGTTGTCTGGCTTGAATGGGACAGGGAGGCATGCTCTTCTCATGACCACTCATCCACACACTGCTGGCCATGTGCACATGCGTGTATCTGTGTGTGTGTGTGTATCTGTCTGTGTGCTTGTGTATGTGTCCTCACCTATGACTTGTTCTTTGAAAAGGAAGCTGGGAGTAGGAAGGGGATGGGATAAACCAGAAGTGACCAGGCTAGACTCAGATTCTGGAGCTGGTGCTCCTCTGAGGTAATTTATGTTTCTGAGAAGCTCACTGCTTTTCCATTTAGAGGCTCGCTCCCGCGTGATTCTCTGGGCACCCTAAGAGGTATGTTAAGGGATTTTTCTCTCTTTGCAGCTCAGGGGAATGCTTTTCTGTATCCTCCTGAGCCAGGAAAAAAGTCAAGACTAACACCTATCAGAGTGAATCTATCACACATTTTTCCTACAGATACAATAGGTATCAGTAAACTCTTTTTTGTTTTTGACCATCAAATTAAAACTCAGAGAAGTAAATTAATTTGTCTCAAGTTGCACAGTTAATCAGACAAATAATGTGTATTATTATTATTGGCTGTATTATTAGCTGTTTTTTTTTTTTTTTCCTTGCGTTATGCGGGCCTCTCACTGTTGTGGCCTCTCCCATTTGCGGAGCACAGGCTCCGGACGCGCAGGCTCAGCGGCCATGGCTCACGGGCCCAGCCGCTCCGCGGCATGTGGGATCTTCCCGAAACGGGGCACGAACCCGCGTCCCCTGCATCGGCAGGCGGACTCTCAAGCACTGCGCCACCAGGGAAGCCCTATTAGCTGTTTTAATTCTCATGTCTTTTCATCCCCTAGTGTATTTAGAATAAATTTCCATTTGCCTCTTTTCCTAGAAATGAATGCACTCTGTGTACTTTGGAAAATGCCACACATTTTCTCTTTTTCCCCCACTCATATTTTGTTTGCGTTTCATCTGTATCTGTTAGGCTGAAATAAGCTATAAATTATTTAGCCAACTTTGTCACCTCTGTGATCCACAGGACACAAAATTGGATTCTCTCCCAGTCTTTCTCATTCTAGTAAATTCAGCCATGTTCATGACATATTTTTTCCCTAACTTTACAACTTTCTGCTTGGCTGATCAACTTGCAGTTTAAAGAAATATATTCTTGAATATTTTCTATCTCTCTTGACTGAATGGGGAGGAGAGAAGATTATCATCAGTTTAATTTGAGACTCAAGAATTTTTTTCATGAATGTTATTTTTCTTGAGATAAATAGTAAAACTTCATTGAGTTTGGGCACTGTGCCACTGTCTTCAGTTGAATGTTTTGAAAACAAAGAAAAACACTGCATAAGACAGCCCCTCTGGTAGCAATGCGGAGTGGTAGCCTCTAAGCTCACAACTCCAATGACGTGGACTTTCTGTCTGATCAAGAAACCTTTGTGTTGATCCAGCTGCGCTGAGCTGTGAGCCTCACTTACCTCATTTAATAGTTGACACAGGGAAGGGCTAATTTCATTCCTGCTCAAGGTGACTTATGTTGG